TCTCTAAGAGGTTTTGTATTGCCGTTATGGTGGTTCAAATGTAAAAACCTACATACTCCGTTATAAGCAAAAAATGAGGTATAGTTTAGAACAATTTGTTGCATGGCTTGAGGTTCTTTATCACCCTGTTTCGGATTGACATTGATATTGTAGTCACTTAGTATGAATCAATGGCATAATGTATGCCTTAGCAGGATTTTCTTAAACTTTTAGGATGAAGAAGTTCATTGGAAAATACTTCCTCTGAACGGGTTTTGGACTGAACCAGAGTTACCACTGAATTAAAGAAATTAAATTCCCGTTTTTATCCCGAGATTTCTCGATTTAAACATTGAGATGATAGGCGATATGAAACGATACATTTTCCAAAATTGAATAAACCAATAAAGATAATGTTTTGATGTCTGAAATATTAAATGTTTGAAATTGTTTGTTTGTAGTTAAACTAAGTAAGTTCTGCATAATTTTTTTCCCTTTGGTTTGTTTTCCGTCAATCTTGTTTTCCGTGCTGAGCACCAATGCTACTGATGCCAAGGAGGCAGCTCCCAACTGGACCCTACCTATCAACCCATGAACTCATGAACCGGGGACCAACGGCTCTACTTCCCTGATCAGAGATGTAATGCCTCAGAACATCCCGGCGGCGCCGACTGGGATTGAACCCAGGCCGGCTGGGGTGAGAGGTAATCATACTTAGGGTTGATGCATATATTATGTCACGCTCTAGGGGGGTCTAAGATTTTGTGACAAGCAATGCATTAGGTATAGGAAAAACGTCACGATAATGGGGGGTAAATTTCTGCTCGATTTAGCGTGACATCATTAATGCATGGGCCCAAACCACTACACCACCGCCCACTAGCATAAAAATTCGTAAATAAAGCATATAAAATTATATTTTCATACTACAATATTTTTGAAGATTCCATATGAGATAAAGCAGGGTTCTACTTGGACAACATTTAAGGATTCTGCGAAGCATTGGAAAGATAATTATGATAATGCCAAATGAGTACTGTAGATGGTTTCTAAACAAAGTATATATTTTTTATATATCTTTATTAAGGAGACTTTCAGCCCTGGTTCGTCTCCGGAAAAAGCAAAGTAATGAAGGAATTCTGGACATGAGTTATTTCATTTTATTTAGTCGAATTTGACTTGATATTTCAGGTTATTTTGAGAAGTATTTCAAGGGAATTGTTAGAAAAACTACAGGTGAATTCTAAAATAGTTGTGAAGATACTTTTATGAAGATTATGAGCTGTATTCTAGAGAACTCTAAAGCAAATAGGAAGGAATTTCAAAGAGCATGCTAAAAGAATTCTGAACGGGACTCATAGTTAATTAAATAAGGCAAACATATTGATGATTTGACAACAATCCTGAAACTATATCTACGCCTAAATCTCATAAATCTAGATTGATCAAGTTTGGCCGGCGAGAAAAGTTGTATAATAGCTGGATAATAATTACAATCGAATCATATTGCTCAAAAATTCCAAACAGAATTTTAAGTTAGTTTGAAGAAAGATAAAAAAGAATTCCTTAAACTCATAAAAATTATGCAAGATTATCAATGGTAGAAAATTTCCAACATATTTCAAAGGAACTCTGAATAGTGTGTTCCAGGAGATTCTGATGAAACTTTTAAGAGGAGTTTCAAGAGAATTCCAAGACAAAATTTCCTCAAGAGCATTTTGATACGCATTTCAAGGAAGTTCTGAGATTTTTTTTTCTTTTGAACTATGTGATGTTGAAAGATAATACTTATCTAAATTTGTAATGTCATCATACTTAAGAAATATTTCAAAGGTATTGAAAAGAATATAATACACAACAATTAAAGCAAAATCTCACTAGATTGTCTAAGAATACGTGGAATTAAAGGAAGATTGGTTATATTTTTGCTGTTTTATTTAGAGCATTCCGCTAACAACCCAATTTCATTACTTCAAAATTTTCAAGATTCTTAGACTTCAGTTGAGAACATATTTCAGGATCCTGGTCTTAGAAACCTGATTAATGTGTCTAGATTCAAAGTTATCTTGTCAAATAAACTTTTACGCATAAACAAAGAAATATGTACCGATACAAAAAATTAATACTTCTTCTTCTTTTTCGCATTTCAAGCTTATTGCTTATCACATATTAGCTTATTGTGTGCTCTCAACTTTGTGTTCTAGATGCACTTTCACAGCTATTAATTGTGAGCATTCGGTGCTTGTACCATTTTTGCATTAGTATAATTGTGTGGCAAGTACAATCATACTCTATGCTCAATGGAAGTCGAGAAATATTCCAACCGGAAAAATTCCTAGATCGGACCGGGAATTGAACCCAGCTGCACCTTTACCGACTGAGCTAAGGGAGGAATTTGTACCCATAAAAAATTTACCCACAATTTATGGGAAAATGCTCTTCTGCTCTATGCGTAGCTGCTCAGATGTACTGTCTTGCCCATGCTTCTTTTATGATATTATTAAAAAGATCTTTCTTTAGAATTTCCATTAGAAAATTTTTATGGCAGCTTTTTTTTAGAATCTCCTTTTAGAAGCTTGTTCTAGAGGCTTCTCCGTCACTTCGCTCCTTTGACTAAAAAACAAGAGCAGGACAGTCAATCTAAGTAGCTACGCAGTAAAGGTGCATTTTTCTTTATTTGTGGGTCAAAATTTCTTTATTTATGGGTACAATTTTATCATATTTATGGGTATATATTCCATTCTTTATGGGTACGAATTCCTAAATTTCAATTTCTTCTGATTATTTCGCTTAACCAAGATGTCTTATTTGAAACCAATGCAATGATTGAAGAGTGAAGGGAATGCTAAGGATCCTGATTTATGTAATGTTGATGAAAAAATTCCATGAAAATTATGGATCTACCCTGAATTATCACTTTAATCACATCACATCATATTGATTATATTGTGTGACAAACTAGATTTTTTAATTTCAAGGATAAACAAATCTTACCATAGCCCCCCAAGCTAAAGTCTGAAATATATTCATGTCTTTGCATGTAAAGGTTTTTAGGTACCACTCTCTTTATGATTAGAAATATAATTCACGATTTAAGCATTTACTGCTAACTTGTGGCAATGACAAAACGTCGAATGACAAAAGGTCGAAAGGACAACAGGACGTTTAGTCTATTAGATTGTGTCCCTCTTTAAACCATTCAAACTATTGTTCCCCCTTCTCATCATTCGACCTTTTGACCCCTTTCTCATCATTCGATCGTTTGCTCATTTCACCTTTTGTACCTTCGACCTTTTGTCATTCGAAAATTTGTCATTCGACGTTTTGTCTTTTGACTATTTGTCCCACAACTATTGTTGTCGTAAGATCATTTGTAGAAAATAACTCAAGGACGCTATCTCGTTGTTTCACCCCCCATTTAAGTGATATTCCGAATACTCAAGCGGTGTCTTCAAAACATGGAGCACCTCCGTGCTGCAAGCTCACTGATCTCATGCACGTATGTAAAACGGCACAGCCTCATAAAGAGAGCGGTAGGTACCTGTAAAATTGTGTCGTGTTATATCCTATACATCAACTCATTTAAGGGGTTAGCCACATTTAAGCGGGTTCAAATAATTGATTTTGATTTTTTTTTTTCTTAATTGATAGTTTAGAGTCTAAAGAATACGGGACAGTTGGTTTTATAACCGGGAACACTTTCTTTTGCATTATTTTGGAGTAGAGACTAGATGACTACCTGCGCGCTCCCGGCATGAAATTTATCTTTCATCACGGTTTTTTTTAAACATGTTTTTCAAGACGGGCGGAAACGAAAGTCATATGTCTAATTGATTAATCGACTCGATTTTTTATGTAGCTTGTTAAAAACTTTTTTTATTTCCTAGTGAAATACTTGAGTTTTAATCTTTATCTTTAAAAGATTTTTAGTAATTTTTAGTAGGTTATATTTGATATTTTTGCCGAAAATCACACCACTTTTTTCAAACGCGTGTCATTTTGTCAAAAATCAATATTTTTACAATCGGCCAGGTACTTCACTAGTTTATACATTCTAGTCTATGAAACTTTTATCCAGTTTCTTCTAGGACTACCTTTGGCTGCAAATCGTTTCCGCTCGCAAACCGCTTCATGCCGGGGATGCCATCACTTAGACGACTGCAGCGCCACCTTTGGGAAAATGTTTTTAAATTATTTTCAATAAAATGTAGAAAATCGCATTCTTTTAAAGTGTTTCTGTTCGCAAAAAAAATCGTGAAAAAGACCTTTGTTTTGGCTTCTACACTGGCCTATCCTTTTAACTCAGGAGACCACTAGCGTGCGCAGCAGAGGGTAGGGGCGGATGGTGGCCAAATAGCTCTCGAATGATGCAAATAACAAACTGTGCCCGTTTAGAAGTTGTTTTCTATATCTTCTAGTGCAGGAGACCAACAATCTTGGCTGTGTGTCCATAAAATATTTGCGTTAGCATAACAATAACGTCAGTTCACCTGATAATATGAATGAAAAAAAAATATATATATATAGAAAATGTTAAATTAAAAAAAAACTTACCACTTGCTTCAACTTGTCAGGTGTATCTAAATTACCTGTATAAAATCCAGCAAAACATAACATATCGTAAATACTGTGTTGATGAATTAAGATTCTAACCGATTAATTTTATGACTCATGCGCTGAAGAGCTTCACGAAACCAGAACAGACCAGAGCAAAAAGACAACCAACAACAGACAATTGGAAAATCATACAGGATAAAATTGTGATTATCAGTGAAGGATTTATATGTAAACTCGATTTTTATTTTTCATTTCAGGCATAGTCCTACTCTCTGGGTATCCTGTGTTTATTTATAATCTTTTCTCATATGTTGTCACTATGTACAGCATTTAATTTGTCTGCTAACATAGCAAATGTTTTATATCCAGTTTTAGCGGCAGTTGTAATAAACCCTCACGCAAATTTGTGACAGAGAGTATTAGGAAAAAGGTTTTTTGTGATGTTCTTTTAACGCATACCTTCATTTGCTAAATCATGGATTTTGAGACAATTTTTTCCTACAATTTACACCTAAAATCCCTGTAACAGAGAATACTATCGCATGTCTAGTTACAAGTTTAATAATAAAAGAAAACTAAAATTTAACAATCATTTCATAATAAACTAACACATCACCTGACATGCCATAATCCTAAATTAACTTTAGACAGTCTCGGTAGTTTGTAAATGTTATTTAATCCAAACGGCGTCAATCGAGTGCAGCCGTATAGATCGATGGCACGTAAATTGATTAGCTCCTCCGCAAGAGCCTCCAATCCTTTGTCTGTTACACGAGCGCACTGGCCAATGTTTAACGTTTCCAGATCGTGAAGTGATTTGGCTATTTTTGCTAACCCTTCGTCGGTTATCTGACATGCGCTAAGACTCAGTGACCTCAGATGGAACAATCCTTGAGAAATGTGCGTCAGTGCCTGATCTGCAATTTTATCACAAAAACTAACATCCAATGAAATTATAGCACTGCCACCTTCGGTCAGATACGCCATTCCAATGTCAGAAATATTATCACATGCTCGCAGATTTAACTCCTCCAATTTGGTCATTTTTGCTAGATGTTTCAAACCACTATCGGTGACGGACACGCAGAAGCTGAGATTGATGCTCTTCAATGATGCCAACCCTTGCGCTATATGACGGAGTGCTTCATCCGAAAGCCTTTGGCAGTCCTGCAGGCCTAAATGTTCTAAAACTGGTGTACCATCAGCAGTTTCCTTGCTCAGACCAGCCAGATGACCAATACCTTGATCGGTAAGATGCCAGCACGATCGGAGGTTCAGTCGTTTCAGTTTCTTCAAGCCCCACGCAATCAACAGTAAGCCAGTGTTAGTAATATTACTGCAGCCGCCTAGTTCAAGTATTTCCACGTTCTTTAGGTGTTGCGCAATACGCCCAAGACTGGAATCGGTAACTTGTTTACACAGCGATAAATCTAGCGTCCGTAGATTCAATAAGTCTGTTGAAAATGCATAGCCTAGTGCAATATCGACAATGTTATAGCATCCACTAAGATTTAACGATTCTAGGTTTGGTACACCAATAACAACATCTCTTATATGAGCTGGTCGTTTCACCGAGAGCACTTGCACCTTTTTAATGCCACGCTTCACTAGCGATGTGAATAAACTAGGTGACGGTCGCCGTAGGTGAAGGCTAGCTTCCTCACCCCTCCAACAACTCTTTGAGTAAGCAACATCGCGCCACGTTGTACACACTTGTGCCGCTCTTCCACGGTCCTTTACACTGAGCTTTTCAAATATGATGGCTAGAATCTCCGGATACAAATGTCTAATGTGAGTTCCTTCCGGTGCCGGTGGTGTGGGAGGCGTTTTTGGCCGGCTTACCACCCTTGGCTGTGGATGAATGTAGATTGGTGCGGGCTGTAGATGAGGTTGGTGTAACGGATAAGGTGCGAAACGGTGTATTGCATGCGGTCGGTGAGATATAAATGCGCCGGGGATTTCAGTCAGCATAAAATTCACTTCCTCCATCATCATATTTTCGTTTATGGTGTTTTATGCGATGGAAACTGTGAATTGTATTTTCCACTTTACTACTTTCGACTCATTTTGTTTGACACGAGTTGCAAGTTAACGATTGCACACAAATCCTTCACCGTTTAAACCAACTGCACCGAAACGCATTCACACAACTTAGGTTCAAATCAGGATCTTGGCATTACTTATTCTTCGTATCAGATTTCCTGCATTCTTTTACTCAAATTTTTCTTCTTTTTATTTTTTCAACATCACTGGGGACTTTGTAAATGAGAAATATATCGTTGTTATTTCAGTGTGTTTTGTTTAGTTCTTCTTCATCGTATATAAATGACTTTTTTGATCACTCTTATTCGACGCTTCTTCTGTATGTATATTTATATATTTTTCTTCACTTTATTATCATGCATTCGAGAGCTTCGAGTCTTTCGCCAGTCGTATTATTGCTGTACATACACTCCAAACTTCTTGTTTTCTCCTTATTATTCTTGATTCAATACACTCTTTCTCTCTTGATGGTAGCAGGAACACACTTTTGCAACTCTTTCATACGATGAAATCCACCATACACAAGCTCTATTGTATCAGCATGTGTACTGAGCTGGAAGCAACCGTTCGAACCGATATCGGCAGGAAGAATTTCATTAGTGCTCCCGATTTGACGTCTTTACTCGTCGGTTTCACACTACACACTGAGCAGCAAACGAGAATCAGAACTGGTTGTAGCTACCCGTATTGCTGGTATATAAGGCCGGGCTTACATATACCACAATATATCAGAGCAGTTTGCGTGAAATGTAGTCCCGTTGTTATCACTTATACTAATGAACAGTTTTCAGTGGTGGCATCAGGTAGTAACAGAACTTTGAATTATTAAAATGTAAGCTATCTGCTACTCCCTCAAATTTTCTGCATTTATTACGGTTAAATCTCTTTCATAAACAGATCCTTTCTTCAACTCATTATTAAGTTGTAAAAAGCATTCATCAAGTTTATCCTTCGCTTGGGCTATAAATGTTTGGCTTGTTTTCAATTCTTATTCAATCGCCGTTTCATGAACAGAAATAATACGGACAACCAAGCTTGCTTCCACTCACTTCACTATAAAAAAAATGTTTTTCGAAATTATGAAATCATTAGATGTTATAATCATATGACGTTGTGATGTATGTGTTTGACTCATAAAACCTTTCAATTTGGGTTCAGCAGAGAAGAGCATAAAATTGCTGATTGTGATTATCTGAAAGCAAAATTGACAGGTTTAATGTTCGAAATTGATTTATAGCGTTTTAGTAGAATCATTGTACACATCTTAAGTTTTTTTTGTTCCTCTTAATAGTAGTAGAATTAAATGGAAAAACAACGTAAAATGTATAGGCTTTATAAGTCAAATTCATATCTCACATCGTCTTCTTGTAACTTACAAGTACAACATATCATTATAACATCTACTGATTTCATCATACCGAAAAAAAATTATAGCTAAGTGAAGGGAAGCAACCCTCTGGACAACAAATGCCTTTTCACAAATGCCGCCTGAATGAAGGTTAATCATTTTATTGATAGTTTTATGACGACAACTATTTCTTTACTTGCTTTATGGTTTCAACCATTTCTCGATTCTCTAACGAATTGAGTATACCAAATCAAAATGTTTTGAATATTCGCAAGATTTTTTAAGCAACGATGTTTCTGGTTTCAGAAAATTACTAATGCTATAATAATAAAATACTGAACATCAACAAAACGAAACAAATTTCTCAAGCCATCAAAAAACTTAATACGGGAACAAGATAGACAGAACCTAATATATAATGTACAATTGTATGCACCTACATCAAAGTACGTAATATACATAACTTTAGATGGAATCGTCAACAATTAGTAATTATCATTTTAAACTGCATAAAAATTAAAAGTTTTTGGGATTTATTCTTTCACAATAACATAAAGAATGATCTTGGTCATAATTTGCTCCATTCACAAAAAAAAACAACAAGATGTACTTGCCCATTTCTAAAAAAAAAAGTAGGGGAGAGTGGTAAATAACGCACCGATTAAGAAAAAAACAGCATTTTATTAGGAAGATCTTATTGATTTCCTGTTCATTAACATATACAATAATTAAGCAATCTGTTTTAAGCATATTTCTAGTGAAATATTATATAAAACACTTGTATCTTACACATTTTATGACGATTTTCTATTATAGTCCAAACAAAAGGATAGAACGCACCGAAACAAGCAGGTACAACGCACCACATCATAAGGGCAAAATGCACCACAACAACCGGCTTATATGCTCTATCGAAATTTGTACATTGTTTTTGTTTTGCATTACATTTTAAGACATTATAATTGCCATGGTTCGACAGAGAAACTCTTGGAGAAGCTTCTGTTGGTCATTATAATGGTTATTATTTGTCGTTTTCGTTTTTGAGGTATAGCACCGGTGTACTGCAAGTCATTAACAGCTCAACATAATTTGTTTTGTAAACGTAAATGTAAATCATTTGCTTGTAAACAATGGTGCCACCGATAACAACGATAACAACATCAAGAATTATTTCGTTGTAGGACGGAGTAGCTATACCGCAAAACGGAAACGGCAATAGAAAACGGTATCTGCAGCCAGGCTTCCGGAAATCTCACGCGTACACAAATGCGACAGCGAGCTGTGAGACGGAGCGTCGCATGACTCTCAAATCCATGGTGTGCTACATTAATTGTACAAAAGAGAGACCAGAACGATGCGCGCGACAAGCTAAACGCTCTCAACAAATTCGAGCGTTTCAATTTTTTTGTCTCATCGCATTGCTCTCTCAATGCGACGCATGTATTCAATCACATGCGACTGTTTCATTGAAAGATCTCAATGCGCTCTCTCCGGGCGCCATCGCCATGCGCTGTTTCGCATGCCTTCTCGCGGTCCCATCATATGTGACGTTGTCGGGTGACGAGTGAAGGGACTGCAAGGGTTTGATCACAGAAGACTTGTGTACCCTTTTTACATGTGGCTTTTGAAATGGAGTGAAGTTTTTAGACGGTTCCAGAAATATCTTCTAGTATAGATTCAAGCAGGCTCAACACATGGTTCCAGAGATATACTGGAATCACCGTAAGATCACCACTCATGCTCTTAGAAAGACGCAATTGCTTGTCGAAAGGATGATAAAGGAAGGTAAAGGAAAACTACGTGAGCGGTGGATTGCAACCTTACGGTAGTTGAGATACCGTTAGCATGTTAGCAACCCAAATAATACCGGAATATCTCTGGAACTATGTGTCCTTCAACAAGTCTTTATGCGGAAATCTTCTAAAATACAGTTTTTGGAAGCCTCTGAAGCTTTCAGCCCATTTGGTGGATAAATAAACAAGTTATTGCGCAATTGAACCAAATTAGACTGCAGCGCTAAAAAATCCCTCAGAATACTTTTACTCAGACCACTAAAAATATAAATGGACGATTTTGAATGTAAAACAGCACTACATTTTACTATACAAGTTCATATGGTCTGCGTTAGGTCAGAAGGGACTAAATAGCCAAATAAAAACAAAAAATGAGTTAATGATATCATAAGATCAAGAATTCCCTCAGCTACATTTCACTTTTTCAGCCAGAATTGAAAAATTCGAGTAGCAAGAGAAAACGGTCAAATGATTTGTCCCATTACATAAGACACAAATTGAACAGCCAACTTTAAATTCGTTTTTCTCGAAATCAAAAAAAAAATGTCACAGTTCGGTCTGACTTGACCGATCATATCAACACGCTAGTAATGATAGAACTCTGAAGATTAATATTTGTATTTTGTCTGGCTTGAGTGATAGTGAAGGGATTATTTTCAACGTAGAAGTGTACTTTGCTGCAAAAACGTTGGTGGTGACTTCTCATTACATACACACAAGTCTACACTTAAAAATTAACCAAGTTTAACATTGTGTAAATTTGTTCTGTTATGATCAATTGAGTTGAAATTTTGACTCAAAACTTGCTTTTCCATTGACCTTTGTCCGATTAGCTATGCACAAATTTTAATTGTACAGGTGCTTCAAAAAATTTGGTATTTCTTACACGTGAAATTCAACATATTTGTAGTATTGCGTCAAACTTTCAGCTCAAATGATCATAAAAGAACACATTTAAAACATGTTAAACTTTGTATGAAAACGACCTTTGTCCGATCAAATTTGCACCACAGTGTACGTAGGTACGAAATGCTGGATTAAGGTTAATTTAATAAATTTAGGAACAAGTTGTGTCATATCTGTATTACTGATTGTTGCTAAGCTTCTTGCTTCAGGAATTGTATTGAATACCTGTCAATCAACAAAACTTACTACGGCAGCATCTGAATTCTTCAGATGTGTTAGTGCTCACAGGATAGTTCATACCAGCCACCATGATGCTGAATTGAAACAATCAATTTGCGACAACAGACTTCTAAAAAGTCCTAGTGTTAGTACCGTGGACCCTCGGTGGAATTGAAAAAAAAAGCATATTAACGAGCAAACAAACCACAACTTGATTGTTCATTTCGCTTACCAAAGCCACATCTCTTCCTGCGTTCGTTATTAATGGGCTATTTTTCAAGTTAATCCTTTAATCAACGAAAATTGCTGCTAGAAAAACTTTGTTGGTCATAGCCATCTGACACCTCTTCTCCATGTTCGATAAGAGTGTAGTAGCTAGGTCGCTTTCCATCGTTTTCAAAACAAAACAACACTTTTCCCGCATCAAGAACACGAGTTGGTCTTCTAGTTTAGTTTGTTATTTCGATGTCGCATTGAGACGTCGCTTAGCGACGTCTCATTGAGAAAAGCGCATGAGCTTCGCCTCACGCGACGTCGCATGATACTCGTTCTCATGAAACGCATACATCCGGAAATGTGCTGTGCTTACAAAACAGTGCGGCACACACACATTATGAGAATGTGAGATGCGACAAAACTGAAGAGAGAGAAACAGAGAGCTACAAATCTCTTGCGCATGAGACTGCTATGACTATGAGACTATTCGTATTGCGTCTCGCATACGGTAGCGCGCGCACTGGTCTGCAGCACGTGAGACTGATGTTAGCAGAGAAAACAAAAACCAGGCAACCTATGGTTTTAGAATGATAATGCAGTCGAAGTAGTCTTTCGGTTGGATTCACATTTCTGACTTTTATAAATAATTTGGAGCTTCTTGAAGGCGTATCGTTCAAACTCTGATTTGCTGCTGCAGACCATAGGTGCCAATTAATTCTGAGAACATTCAAGTTAAGTCCAGATTCCATCGAATATTCGCCAGGTAAAATTCGTACATAGTTATTTATGGTGGAGTTCAATTTGTTCAGCTTGAATTGCTAAAGATTATTGAAAAGGCGTGTTTCCAATATTAACAGAATGTTTGCCATTAATTAAACAAAGCTTTGTAAGTTCATGAATACAGCCAGTTTTGCAAGTGAACGACGCACAATCTCGTTTCAATTATCAATCATCATTTTTGATGCACTAAATCAATCCACAAAAAAAATTTTTTTTCGGTAGAATCCTTTCAGTATTCGATGTGCCATTAATCGCGGGGGTTAGTTCAGTTCATCCACCACTGTTGCAAGTGATTACGACCTCTATTTACGTAACAGTCCCACATCCAGTGGAATTATTACTTGCATCTCACTTTTATGCGAATAGAGGC